CACCATTCTTACCGCCAGAACCCTGGGCGAGAAGTCCCTGTCTGCAAGACGATCAAACACCCGGTACTCCATTCTCTGATTCACACAGTTACTCATCTGGGGGGTTGGAGAAATGAGGGATTTCTACACTGTATGTTTAAATACTTGCTTGGTATCAATACATAAACATAACAGTATACTGTAGTACTGAAGGAGGATCTGGGGGTTTTGTATAGTGTTCTTCTAGCTACAAATGTATCGTCTTCTGACATACATACAGCACACACAGTAGATAACATACTGCTCTATTTGTAGTGAACAATACCTGTTTGTTTTTATAGACAGCGACGGTACTGTGAGCCTGTCTTTGTTTGCCTACCATGGCCAGCTCAGCTTCCAGCTCCTTGATGCGATTCTCCTTGAGGTCCAGCTGCGAGCGCAGCATCCCTGTATGCTCCGTGGCTTCCTTGGTCTGTCGCCGCAGATCCCACTTTTCTCTTTCCAGCAGGTCCTTCTCCTTGGCCAGAGCCTTTACCGCGTCCTCACTCTCCTGGTGAACACAAAACACCCTGACAGACTGGTTCACACAGACATGTGTCTGTTCTGACACCTTAGAAACACAGCATGTGAAATGTGGCAGAAATTATGTTCAGCTCATTTGCCATTTTCCACTATTGAATTATTAAAGAACACGTGAAAAACAGCTTACTAACAGTTGTAGCTGTGGAACGAGGTGAATTCAGGTCATCTCAGAAACTTGAAAATCCAACGATTGCGGCTAGTTTACGTTCAAGTCATAATTTCTTTTTCTTATCTTCCCTCCAATTTGCTGAGGCCCCCTAGCGCCACCTGGTGGCCCCTACTTTGACAGCCACTGATATAATGTATGGTAAGGTATGTATTCCACCTGGATTTGCAACTGTCAAAATAAAGGTCTTTAAATCTACTCACTGTAGTTGTATGCATTGTCAGCATTTGCAAGTGGAGATTATTTACATTTACCCCTTTACTTTGCCTTGGAGGTTATTAACCAAAAGCAGGACATAAAAGCCAACAGGTCAGAGTTGATTTTAGTTGGTAGTTTTTGAAAGGATGTTCCTGTTGAAGCACCAGCCCCAGACCACACACAGATGTGTCAGATGATGCTTCTATACCTTTCTGTGCTGCTCATAGTTGCGTATGAAGTCACGGAGCTGCTCCTCTCTGCTCTCCAGTGTGGCGTAGAGCTGCTGCATCTGGTTCACCAGGTCTGCTTTCTCTGCCTTCAGACGCTTGCGATCTGACTTCATGGCTGAAAGGAGGAATAACAGAAGAAGGGAGACATTAAGAGGCTGTGGTTTAGCCTCAGAGGTCAGGCTGCTGGAGTGATGTGTCTGCAAGTAAATCAAAAAAACTGCATGAGTTATGTTAAGAAAATAACCAAAAATAACTTGACTGTTAATTAATATTATTCATTTATTTCCAATATGAGTAAAAGCATGGTCTGGTTGTGGACTATGATTTCAGATGGAGGACCAGAACGTTCTACTGCATGTACAAATGTCTCTTTTCTCATTCAATATTTAGAGTTTAACAAACCTTGAATAGGAAGATGATTTTGTAAATCCTATTTATAGAAAAATAGACAATAAAAAATGAACATGTTGCAATTAGAGGAATAAGCCTTTAGTTGATATAGATACAAACTTGTTTTACTGAACACCTAGTATACTAAATACACACATTTCAGGAATTTATTGAGGCACAATGACAATTGGTTTCTTCTCATTTTTGGTAAAAATCACTTTGCCACGGACTTTAAATGCAACAACTCAATTTAAGGTAAACAAAAAGTGGAAGCATGAAGTAATAACTTCATAAGTATAATAAGTATTCTTTATTGTGCTTCCAAATTTCCAAAGATTACCTGCACTGCCCCATAATGCAACGGTGTATATTCTATGCCATTTCCACACTGACCCATGTTGTACATTTCATGCATGACGAGTCTGTCGAAAAACGCCTCCAATATGTGGCGTTTTCAGTGATTATCAGAGTGCACCTGCTGCTGCAGCCCGACTGTGGAGTGACTGCACGTGGACAAAGCGGTGAATCACATGTGAATCCCGCTCCTGTCAATCTCCTCTCTGCCGCCGGCTTTGTTAGAGGCTGCCTGTGTGTTTTTCATCTATCTCCCTGCCACACGCTCCCTCTAATCCTCTGGCACTTCACCCACGCACCCTGATAAAGAATATGGCTCAGTGCAGTTATTCAGAGAAGCTCTAATTTTCTCAAAGACAACATCTCCTCTTCTCTCGCCTGCTTCTGCCTCTTTTCCAGCGTCCTCTTCATCATCTCTTCCCTCCCTGCTGTTGTTTCTCTAACAGCAGAATAATGTTATATTTTAGAAATGTCATAACGTCCAACCTTTTTTTTCAGTTATTGCTGCATGCTATCGTGTGCTCACCGTTTCTTTCCCCCCACTTCCTTTCACTTACTCCTCCGAGCCTGCTGCCTGTCATTAATTAACTTACATCACCACCTGGTTAATTGCGTGACATTTTCAAGTTGCGTCTTGGGAGCATGTTCAGGCGAGTGGAAGGAGAAGTGTGCTTTTACAAGGCCAGGTTCACATTCTTTTTTCTTTCATGCTCTTTCTTTTCTCCATCTCAAATCTCTTCCTTTCGCCCGTTCTAACGATGGGTTACCATAAGAATTTACAAGCCAGAACGAGGCAGTGAATGAAAAACAAGAAGCATTCCGAAACTGGCCAGGAGAAACAGGAAACCTCCCAGCACCTGCCTGAGGAAGTGAAATCAAAGGCGTCTTTGAAATGAGCCAAGAACTCTGCTGCTACTCCACATCCTGCACCTGTGACCACTGGCAACATGGATTTTCACAGTGAAAGAAGTCACTGTGATTCACTGGTAAAAGGACCTTTCACCGCCGCTAATCAAATTTCAACTGTCGACTTTTTATTGAAAAACCTGTGGTTAAATGTCAAATAAACAAGGGTGTCGTGTTTATTTCCATCTCAGCCAAGGACCTGATGACGTACCGACAACCAACCAAGAAACAAACAAACATCTGTGAAGCTAAAATATGAAAAACTACAGCAAAAAACGTTGTGGAAACAAGAAAACAGTTCGTCTTAAATTACGCATAATGTAGAAAATTTAAAAAATAAATCTAATTATATCAATTCAACCCCTCGGCCCATTCACCTCAAGTTGTTCGTAGTTAAAACATGACAGTGTGTTTTTTTCTGTTACAGTTACTGCCCCCTACTGGTATTTTCCCCCTGTTTTTCTTTTGCAAATAGCCAGGCATCTTCTGGTTGAAAATATATACATGTGAAGTATAAAGTATTATGTGGCCAGAATGCCAGTCAAAGAGTTCTACTTTACATTGCAAAAGTCCAGTCAATCACTTGTAGTGCCCCCTATAGGGGAGAGAGAGAATACAACATGCACTGTTTTTCACAAACATGTTTTTCATTTTTTATTTATTTAAATAAAATAAAAACAATTAGGTTTTAGTTTGGAGACCTTTTCTGTTTGTTTGGATGTGTGAACTTCTGCCTTGTGCCAACGCCAACATGCCTACTTGTAAATTCAGACATTAAAATCAATCCCTGCCTGTGGGAGCGGAACGGCAGATCAATGCTTCTCTAAAATATTTACTTTCAAAAGTTAAAGCTGCTGCTCCCTCCGTTTAGGCACAAACTAGCACAAAGGACACTATCACATCTCGACAGATTCTGTCTGCTTGTTTCTTTTATTTTTCTTTGCCACACACGGTTTAAAAGACAAAAAAAAAAAAGACACTTTGCAGACCCTTCAAATTCTTGGTGGATATATCCTTGAATCCAATCCAGCTAAAAGTAGGGCCAGGATTTTCAAACTTTCTTTGACAGATTCTTTTATTCTTTTTTCACTTTTTCATCCTTTTTTTCACTGCCCAATAATCAAACTAGCAAAAACGTAATACTCGTTTTATAACATGGGCTCAGTGAGGAATAAATATTGTGTGTAGTGTCATGTGTAATTTAAATGTAAATGACCAAATTTGAATTTGTGCAGCAGAAGTCGTTGAAGACCTTCACTGTCATTATGTCAACAGACGAAGGGATCACGGAGATAAAGCTTTCTTTAAGCAACCAGTGGAAAATGATGTTTATAAATGAGCCCACTGCCGCCCAATGTCACTTCTCTGTATAATCTCCATGGTGTGCAAACACTTTCAGTCAGCGTGGCATTATTTTTGTTCGAGAAAATAAACCCCATAGAATGCCTTTAATGGAGAGAGTCCCCTGAACAGTACAGCAGCATTTTCGCAGCTCCTTCAGTTTCCCTCCTCAGTGAAACCCCAGGATCGTATTAGGGTTGATGTTTAAACCGTTATGGCGAGTGTTGCTTTGCGGTCACAGTGATACACGGCAGTTTAATGGAAATCAATCACAGATTTGACCAGAAGCTCCCGGGCTCAGCAATGACATCTGACCTCTTTCATCGATCTTTTCAACAACCTACAACCTACTCATTAAAAAAGCCATAAAAATCTCTCACTCTTTCTTTTCTCAGTGTGGAGGCGTGTGCTCATGTTATAAAAAACAGCAGCACTGACACAGGACAATCAGGAGAAGTATTTTCCCCACTGAATACTCACTGCACAAAGTAATTATTCAGATGGTAATATTCAGAAGAAACTCTAGAAACTGCAGAAAAGGGAAAAAAATTAACTTAAGGACCACAAGGGGCCACTGTGACTCAACTTCAGAGTCTGTATCAGAATCCTGTGAAAACCAAAACTGATTTTGATGAAATATACAGATAATACTACAGTAACATTTGATGAAGTCTTTATTTAACTTGCCCTGGAGATATGTTTAAAAACACAGACAAAACAAATCAAGACAGTAGAAGAATCAAAGCCGGACTTGTGTTCTCTGCAGCAGTATTTAAGTATTTAAAATCATAGCTAATACACAGGGGCAGATCATCTTTTACTTAAAAAAAACCCAATATACATTACTGGTGTTCCTCAGGTGTCTGTACTCGGATCACTACCCATTACAGATCACGTTAACTCTGTTGTCTCCTTTACAGCTCATTATAGACAGATTAAAGCAACAAAGGAATCACTGAACTGAATGTTCTAAGCAATGAAACACCTGCTTTCAAGATCACATTTGTGTGACCTGAGCATCACTAACATTAAAATAAGGATGAAAATAATGGTAGAAACAGTGAGCTAATGAGGAGCAAAATATGAAAAGTATTTTTGTATTTACAAACAGCAGGGAATCTGCACGGACATCAACACTCCCAGAAACCTTTCTACAAGTATTATCTTAATCTGCCATAAGGGAGGAGGATAATGAGTTTTTTTCATGCTGCTGCATCACTCCACGCTTTTGATTTGTTTCACCAAAGAAAAGTTAAAAAAAAACACACACAAAGAGGCTTCTGTTCACAGTGTGCGTTGGTGAAACCTCAATAAAACCGACGCTGCAGCACAGTGGTTTCACAAACATTTCTGGGGAAACAAATGATAGTAATTTGAAGTAATCGGTGGGATGTGTACTGCATGTCAGCTTTCATAAAGAAGTACACACATCAATTCATGTCAACCCTTCAATTGCCACAATGATTTTTTTTTTTTTTTGCTTTTGTCCATTTAAAACCCAAGTATTATCAGTGTACATAAATACACGTCCACCTTTATTGGTTAGTGTGTAGTGCTTTAGAAAGCACTCTTAAATTGCCTCAAACCTTCACTCTAATAGAGTATATCGGGATTTTGGACAAGTGTTGAATTCCAAAAGTTAGAAGTGACTTTTATACCAAAACTTTTCTTTAACCTAACTGACTACATCTGAAAATGTGTAAAGCTAATTTTTGGGGTAATTCGTCGTATTTGTTCCTTTGTGCTCAACATAAGGGTCATTTTGTTTAATGTCCAGTAGGACATTGTCTAAACAAAATGTCCAAGCATGTCATTTTTGAACACATTAGTGTTTATTAATATTTTTTTCTTGAATGTTACCTTACTGTTTTTATGCTAATAATTTGATAACCATAAATTGTCAATTGCTTCATGGTGGGGCGGCGGGGAGGACGGGTTTGTTTATTTGTTGTTTTTTTATTTTAATTTTCACTCTCTCTTAGTTGTCCTCCTGACTGAAACGACAGTCACAGCTCATTAGGATGGGAATATACCCAATACAGAATAAATTAGTTTGGACTATAGAGCCATCAAAATATTCATCCAACTCTGCTGTTGTCCTTCATCAAACTAAACCCTCACAGCACAAACATTACTACATCACTTCATCCTGAGCCAGAACCAGGATCTGCAGCCTGGAACCTAATTCATTTGGTAAAAGCTGCAGCTGGAACAGCAACACAGACAGGACAGAGATACAAAAAGGGATGATTGATGTATTTTCGCTAAAGAAAAAAAAAAAAACTGCATTTCAGCGACTTATGTATCACAGCAAACAGTGGTAAGTGCCAGAAAACCCAGTTGCCGTCCATTTCACATGCACATAGTGAAGCTGGAGGAAACAACGGTGTTGCTGAGATGGAACTCAACAGCCGTGGAATAACAAGAGAGCTGGGAACCACACGGCTGCACAGGCAGGTCATGTTGAAAATAACACTGAACTTTTTTAATAATTCAGAAATGTTTCTACTTTCACTATTAGATGCAGATGCATTTTTTTCCTGTTTCACAGGTCACTTCCACCGTGACTGGAGGAAAACAAACTTTTAATGTTTTAGGTTGGAGTTTTGCAAGAGAAAAACTTTTACAGACCAACGTGGATCATAAATAAAACCTTCATTGACCCAGTACTAACATTATTTTTAAGGCAACAATATTATTTTGATTTTCTTTAGCATTGTAGTTTTGCATAGAAACTCCGTGACAACCTTCTCTAGGTGTACAGCTGTGATGGTTCACACGGTCATACCAAGAAAAATGAGGTCGTAGGGTCATTTAACAATAATGTTTCAAAAATCTCATGAACCATACAATTAAAATGTGTTTAGGACTCCCCCTGCAGGGGATGGAGAACAACTACATCCTCAGTACAAACCAAAAAATATCTGCATTTAAAAATATTCAACTTAAAACTTCAAAAATGAATCACTATGATTTAAATGGGTGTTTGGAAGTAAATGGAAAAAATATTTCCATCCCAATTTGAGTTTACTTTGACTTGAATGTGACAGAAACTAATTTCCGGCTGTCCTTTCACAGACCCCTGCCTTAATTACAGAAGCCATCCGCCATAATTCATGTTTCTGACCCTTGCAGGCCAACCAAAGACCGTTTTTATTAAGCTTTTATTAACTCTTGATTACTGTCGCTAACTGCTGGGGCTGGTGAGCTCAGCCTTTCATTATCTGCCCAGGGTCTTTCAGATAACTGCTTGGACATGTGCCAGGCGCTCACATGCCAAACAACCAGCTGAGTATTTGTACACATTTAAAGTGTGTTCTACGTCACTCTGGCCCTATATATCCTGCCGTTCTTTCACCACAGTCCACATGTCCTCAGAATCCTCTCTCTGGCATCAGTTCTTTTATTAGTCCACTCTGGGCACATGTCCCAGTGAAGACAACGTGTGCGTACAGTTAATATCCCTCTATACATTAAACAGTGTGGGCTCTGCTCTTAATATAAAGGAGCCTGGACTGGGCATTCACTCTTCAGACTCTTTTTCCTTTTTAATACAGTTCCCCTAACTCCCCTGCAGGGGTTGCTATGACCTATGACTTGCTCGTTGCTGGATTAGCATTTTTTAGCTACATATTTTCCAGCAGTGTTAATTCTGCAGTTTGGCTGTTTCTTTTTGGTTGCATTTTTTTGTGTTTTTTAAAGAACTCTTTAAAGTTATGTCGTGTCAGTGGTACATGTTGCCCTCTTGTGGCCATATATATAATGTGATATATATGTATATAAACAGTAACTTTCTTTGGAACAAAAGTCCATTGTCCAGCCAAACCAATAAAATTAAATAGTTAAATAAGTCTATTAAGAAATATTTTTATCATGCAGCTTTTGCTAATATTTGACATGTATTACCAAAACATATGGTTGTTCAGCTTGAACTGAGCACAGACATGATTTTTTACCTAATTCTACATTTGAATGCAGCACAGCTATGGTAACACTGGTGGACACTGGTTGCAGAGGGAGGAGGTTGTTATGTTCCTGCTGCAAGGAGCTCATTTTGTTTCCAAAGTAACGCATCAGTGTCCTCCCCCACCCCCGGACCTCTCTTCATCTCTGAAGCAGAACACACGCTAATGGGCTGTGATGCAGCTATAATGTACAGCATTAAGCACCGGGTTACTGCCGCTAATGTTAGCATTAGGGTGACAAGAAAAATGCCCTAGCTTCAAATGGTGCTCTGGTGCTAACTGTATCAAGCTTTTCTCTCTGCGAGACTCAGGACGACGTACAGAAAACACCAGCTTAAAATTGACTAAATTTGAAAACATATGATCATGTGTAGATAAGTGTTTAACTTTATCGTACAATTTAATCTGACTGTTTTGTTTTAATAGTTTTCACCTTAAATTGTTGAAATAGCTAAAATAGTTTTATTATCAGACTATTAAAGACAGAGCATATTACACATCGTCAAGATGTATATATAAAGATTTATATATATATATAGCATAGCCCTCTACCTTGACACATCACAGCCATTGACTCATCCTATACTTCTTTTGTATAAAGAAAATCAAAATTAAAATTGCTTTACCCTTCCTGCAAAACCTTTGTGTCTGCCCCACACTCTGATATTGCGTTTTCACATCAACCAGTCATTTAGAGTAAGGGTTGACCCTCAAGGCTCCTTGTTTCCCTCCTTACCCTGCAGAGCCTCCTTAGCTCGGTCGAGTTCCTGCTCCTTCTGGGTCAGCTGTACACGAAGCTCAGTGGCAGAGAGCACGTTGGCCGAACAGCTTCCCTGGGTCTCCTCCAGGTCTTTATTCAGCATGTCCTTCATCTGCCGCAGCAAGTGCACCTCCTCCTGGAGCTGGGCCACCTCCTCACGGAGCAGAACTACACCAGAGAGTGGAAAAGGGGCAGATATTATGGGCCACCTCCTCACGGAGCAGAACTACACCAGAGAGTGGAAAAGGGCTGATATTAGGAACTAAAGTGGTTTTTAAGTTTGCCAGTAACCATGAAAAAAACGGTACTTGATGTTTTTATGAAAGGTGACGGACCACACTGTTTCATTTGGAGGATGTTTGTGTTGGAGAATCTTTGCCAAAAGAAACGATAGGGCACGGAAACAGGCCAGGAAATCACAACACGTAGGAATTTAGATCAGCTGACTCAATGTTGGCTTCCTCACTGGACCAGTGTTGTGTTGAAAGCTTTCCATTATTTCTAGCAGACCAAACACAGAGGTAGCCAACAGGACGGTACACCGACGTCCAACAGCTCATTCCCAAACACGGGGGAAACTTCACACCTCAGGAAAATTTGAAACAATCTAAAAAACTGGCATTTTTATACACGGCCTTTAAGGCTTTGCCAGCTGTCGTCACAACAATTTTGATTTTCCCAACCTTTGCTTTTTCAAAGGAAAGAAGCAAAGAATTTCAAAGGTTGAGTTCAATGAGCTCATTTTTTTTAAATTCAATTCTTTTCATCTCCTTCCTTTAGGGCACCAATACAATATGTATTAAGTTTCCTACTCCAAGAAAAACCACTGCCATAAAAACCTGAATATTGCCACTTCACACATCCTAATTATTTTATAAATGTGTCAGCAATTTATTTATGTTTATATATTTGTTTACCAACAGTCAAGAAAGTCAAAGTCAGGATTTAACAATAACATTGTCACAAGACATATTTTCAATATTCATTGATAAGAATTTTCCTGCAGTGTGTGCAAATAACAATGTGTATCAACTGAGGATAAAAGTGACGATAAGTGGATGGACTGTGAAATAACACAGTGAACATAATTTAATCTGATTAATTTCACAAATAAATAAATAGATTCAAGACATTCATTTTGACTGCCTTGGGTGAGAAATAGTTAGGTTAACATACAGATAAAATATTATCCTCAATTGTTTTAATATGTAAGCCATTGAATATGAATGGATTTGAAATCATTTATTAATCAATGCTATGAAACAACTTATGGTAAATGAATCAGCACAGTGACTTCGCTCATCCCGACATGAAATCTTTCGATCACGTGTGAAACTAAATTTCAGCAAATTCGTCTGCACAGAAACTAAAAATCAATATTTCAGAGCAGCTCTCATCGCTCTCTTCATCTCAGAGTGTCCTTTCATTTGGGTTCACTGAACAAATGGAGGAGGCTGACGGTAATAGCTACTCGCCAAATAATGACAATGAAAAGTAAAAGCTGGGCTGAGAGAAGAACGGTGGCATGTGGAGTGTCATTAAGCAGAGGTGCATTTAATGGACCTGGTAATAGAAGCACTTTCTACACAGCAAGTCAAGCAGCAACGGCCTGATTGGCAAAACCTGACGAGCTGCTGGAGACAACAGACCTCAGAGGATACAGTTGACTGGTGTTTAAAACTTCCATAAGAGTGGGCCAGTTCATTTAACGACTTATTCAGAACGTGTGCAAATATTGATTTTATAAAAGGGAATTCAACAGTTGTGGAACCTCCAAGAGACGCCAGGAAAAATAATGGTTCCAAAAAGAGACTGGGGTAATTCCTAGGAATAATACTATTCTTAGAAAGTAAACTAGTGATTAGACCACTGAGACAATAGAACCGCCTGATGGACATAATTACAAGATTCAGGCAGAGTAACCTAGCTGTTCTGGGTCCCCAAAACTCCAGGCAAGAGTACTGTAGCGTATGCACTTCTTTTCTTTTCTTTTTTCTTTTTTTTTTTACAATTAAATCTAGTTCAACAAATGCCCTTGACAACGCTCATAAATACCCTTCTATGGCAGTTTGACAAGGCTGTTTTTTTTGCTCTGCATTTCTAATAGAGTGTCTTGGCAGGATGACAAGGTTCATCCTTCTTTGCTGACCTCTAGCTGTAACTAGGCTAACTGTCGCTGAATCTGTCTCAAATACACAAAGCACAGTTGATATAGACTTATTGAGGTTAAGGTTTAGCACCCTCTATCTCCCCTGTTTTAATTGTACTGTAATTTTCTTAAAACTTGGGTTATAGTATCACCCCGTCCAGCAGATGGCGACCTAGGTTACCACCTATCTGGTACTGACGTTGGTAAAACGGTTTTTGGACTGAACTGAATTGGAAACAGTTTTCTACACCATAATAATCATCAAAACTCACTACACACTCACAGCTATTTTTTAACACCTGGAAAACTCCAGATTATCCCTGGCTCCGTTATAACATGTGATATGGAAACAGACATGTAACTGTAACTGTCGTCTCCTGCTCTCAGTGAGAGGAGGCGCAGTGCTGGAACACATGAGATAAGGCACTTAGACGATGAGGAGCAGCGTGAAGATGGCCACCTATTCTTCATCGCTTTCATAGCTTCCAGGTCGGGAAGAAAAAGCACGTGCTGCAGCTGGGAATTACCAATGACCATCAGTCGGCGCCCCCTGATAAGACTTATCTCTTCTGCTCTTCGCTCCAGGACTCAATACGGCTCCGCTCCAGGAAAGACCCTTCAACCAGTGACAACCAACATTCAGCACCTTTAAAGGTGCAGCGTTGGAGATTCAGTAACATTGTCACTGTGTTTGAATATTCTTCCCCTAATGGTCGTGACAAAGCATTTAGAAGAACATGTCGGAGTCAGTCATGCTAGCTGCTAGATGTTGATTTAGACTTCCTAAAATGCTACCTTGAATGTTCTGTTTTATTTGCATATTTTTCAAGTACATTTCATTGTACTTTTTTTTTTTACTTAAGTGAAAATATAATATAATTTTTGTATTTAATGCAAACTAATACTTGAATTAAGATTCAGGTATTTACTGAGCAATAAATAAAACCACAATTCATTCCTTCAGGTGAGAACCTCAAGATCATAAAACGTGTTAGTAAAAGTATTTGGCAACATACAGTACAGTAATTAAGAGCAGCTGATTAGGAATTCACAACAAAGATAATCCAAAAACTAAATACAAATGACAGTATTTTCATGTGGTTCAGATGTTGGCTCTTGATATGTTTCACTATGCTGATATAAAAAGAAAAGATTGACATTCAAATAAAATATGTATAATACCAGTTTACTGGATGTCAAACACAGCAGGATTTTCCTAATCAACAAATACAGAAGGTAATTCAATTATTGTTCCATGTTTCATCTTATATCAAGGTTTTAAAATAAAATAAAATAAAATATGTTTCTGTGTCTTCTGTGTAAATCGAACAGTAACTGACTCCTTGGTGACAACGACAGTCTCACATTTAATATTATGACACAGTCTCTGACAAAGCACAGGCTGTCAAACAAATGTAGCAGCAGGACTGGAACAGCACAACCAATTTATCTGTTTGTTATGGCTGAAAATGATGAGTCAGTGACACATGAGGGACAGAGTAGAGCTGAGAGCCTGAAGTGCTGCAGATAATGAATGAATGAAGTGGTAAATTCATAAAGTGTGTTGTGTTGTTGCTGAAACAGTTTCAGTTTTGTCTCTTTGGCTTTGATCTGTGCCGGTAAAGACGTAGAGAGAGATGTTGAACAGTTCCTTAAAGCTGCCCTTCGTAACATGCTGCTGTGCACGACCAGAGTGCAGAGTCTGTACTACAGCAGTGTATACTAGTGACAGTATGTGTTGACTTTCACCAGTGGCTAGTAACCTGAGTCACTGTCCTGGAGTCAATCATTTAAGGTCAAGAAAAGTACCATTCGATTCACAGGCGCCCAATCTCCGGAGAAAGAATTAGTAAAGAAAATTAAGGGAGAGAAAACTGTTTATCTTGAGAAAGTTCCGCAGAGGGAGCCGTAAAGCCTTTTGAATTGTTGTGTGCTAAAGAAAAAGGCAGGGCTAATGATGACTGATGTTTATTGACTCCACCGTCTCCCTGTGACCAAAGAGTGAATAAAATCTCTATCATTGGCTACTGATTTAATGACTGCCTTAAAGTGAGCGTCTGCATAGACTCAGCCATGAATCAGCAGACGTGCAGTTAGTGCCAGTTATTTACGAGTCTGCTCCGTGTCATTTTACATCTATATAATTTTACTACCACAGACGGTCTGTGATTTTTCTGGTGCTGGAAACCAGTTACAAGTTAATTCCCTTTTTTCATGTTGTGATTCATCAGCACTGGATGACGTGTTGTATTTGTCTCAGTGACTGACTGCATGTATCTAGGACAGATTTGTTCAAAGTATCGTTGACATTGTTTGGAGGCAAGTACTGACTTCAGCCTCCTTATGAACACTATTTTTTTTTTCCTGATGGTTATTTCCTTTTGGAAATAGTGTGACACTGCACATACACCATGATTATTACATGTACATGAACATGACATTGCATGACATCAGAAATTCCCACAATCCTTTAAAAACCTGCATCACCTCCTCTACTGAAGTCAGTTTGGTAATGGCTTCCAAACTGAGGCTGACTTCAGCAGAGACAGCCATTGAGTTTAGCACCTAAACCTTAAGAGTTGCTGGACTATGATGACCTCAGGAACAGATATACTGTTATATCCAATTCTGGAGCAGTAATGAAGTAGTGGCATGATCTAATGTACAGAATGGAAACCCTCTCTTTCAGACTTTGGAGATTAAGAAGAAAATGTTATATATTTGTTATTGTTCTGTTACATCGACCAAGTCCAAAAAATACATTTAACAGCCGAAGATTTGTATCGGTCATGGAAACAACGAGGTAAAACTTCCCTGATGATATTCAGACTGGCGTTTCCTCAAGTCATTAAACCCCCACATTTCTCTTTGTCTTATATTAGCACCATCTGTCTCTGGGCTCCACACTCCCCTCATCTATTCTGCTCTCAACTTTCCCCATTTTACCCCACAGCAGTTCTACAAAAATTCACCAGGAGTCAGAAACTAAAGTTGTAAAGTTCAACAATCCATCAGAGTC